GCCCATCCTAAAGGCAGAAAAAGTTAATAAGCGCCCAGCCTCGAATAAGCGCCCACCCCTACCCCACCCCCCTCCCACTCCCACTCAAACTGAAATAGGGGCCCACCCCCTTACACCTACCACCCCCACCAAAAGGAATAAGTACTAATAACAGACTTGCCCGAAGACGGAGTTTTCTTCAGAGTGTTTTGCAGAAACCTTGCTTTGTTACATCTTCGCGTTTTGTTATTACCATTTACTGTTTTGTTGCAAAATATACATGTTACACTTCTTGAAAATAGTGAAAATTTAATAAGCGCCCAGCCTCGAATAAGCGCCCACCTCGAATAAGCGCCTACTCTCAAGGTCCAAAAATTTAATAAGCGCCCAGGGCGGTTAATCGAATAAATACGGTATATCGAAAGTTGCCTATTGGTACAAGTCATTTTGGCCGAGAGGGCTTGGTTGTCTAGATCCCAATCCCTTACTCCCGTCTCAGAGGGTTCCAGTCCTCCCTCCTACTGATTCACTTCCGCTACTATCCGAATAGGTCATTTGCATTTCTAGAATCCTTCAGGGTTTTGCTTTCTTGCGCAAATGAGGGCTTTTGTTATTTAAACTTAACTAGGACTGCCAAATTTAAATATGAAAGCAAACATGGGAGATAGGCTTCTGATGTAAAGACGAAATGAATAGTGGTCTTATTTAGTAGTAAAAAGACGTCATCGAGCAAATGGCCTATACTTTAATAGAACCTGTCCCATATGCGACGCTCAATCGTTTCTCCATAGAAACCAATGTTTTGCAAAATCAAGGATGTGGCTACATATGTTCTGGGTTGCTTTTCTCCGGCATCACAAGAAGACTCGTGACAAAAATTTGGAGTGTTGTCGCTGTGTATTTCAGCAGATGAAAGATTATAAAACGCAGTTATGTACGCAATTTAATAAGGATGCTGTAAAAAGAGAGGCTGAAAAAAATAAAAGGTTTGAACGAGATTCGATCCTATGATCTCAGAGATACCTGCTGTGCAACTAAAGTGAGTCACGAGTCTATCCGTTCTCCGCAATTAAGATGATGGAATTTCACAAATTCACTTTCATATCAGTTAGTTACATAATGTTGTTACACAATTGCGCGGTTCGTCTTCTTATGCATCATATATTAATTGAATATTATTTTTATAATACTGGCGTGAAAAAGACGAAAAGACACTGCTAATTCCTCTATGTACCAAAGTTTTATATATTAGCTAAGAGGACTAAATTTATAACGACCGTGCCCATTAAGTGCCCGTTGTCTCGTGTTAGGGCAAACTTTAATTAGGCTTTTCTTTCGGCTCACAGTTCACGTGTCACAGAAATGGGTTATATAATCGATGATAATCAATTGGTATCATGGCATGCCTTCCTTCCTCAGATCAGTTTATCGAAAGATTTAAAATAACTTAAGCAAAGGCTCCCAACCACGTGATGAAATCTTCGTCTGAATTTTGTAATCTTAAACTCCATTCAGTAATTTGACTTTTCCTGGCGTTATTTTCCTCTTTCTTATATTTGTACGCATTCAGGAATTTACCAAGCAATTTCCATTCGTTTTTAAAATATTTTACCCTTAGTTTTTTTTTTTTACCATAATTTCCCTGAGTTAAACAAGACAAGAAAAAAATTTAGCAGTCATTGACCCCTCTTCAGATCTATTGAGAAGTCCCCGCGGTGAATTCCTCGGCTTTGAGATTTTGCAGGCCAGGTTTATCGCGTGTTATCTAACACAGAAGAATTTTGGCCATACTCATCACACCTAGACATGGGTTTTTATCACTTTTATAATCGCTTTTGATAACGAATTTCAAACCAGACAGTTATTGTCTACAGAATTTGATTGCAGAAAAAGTGAAAAAAACGAAACATTATCGTGAACACTTCGACAAAATTAAGACGCTAACAAGGCAATGGTATTTTTAGCTTTTTTGATTTGTTTTCTGTGTACTGTAAATGCTCAGCTTCAAATAAGCGCCCCTCCTAAGGCTTAAAATTTGGAATAAGCGCCCCCTTCAAATAGGCGCCCCTCCCCTCTCTCCCGAGAAAAAGCAAGGTTCACTACTCGGTGGATATACGAGACGTATACGGTACTTTTAATGAATGTGACATTCGTAATAGTACAAAATTAAATTAATGTTCTTCAAATTCGTACGGGTTGGCTTCTTATTTCCTCGATAGAAATATCCATGTGAGCCTTCTTGCTTTGCATGTTACAGTTTGGGTGAACTAGAAATAAAGATAGTGCCATTTTGAGGCCAAAAATTGGTAAACAAAATAAGCCCCCCTTCGAATTAGCGCCCTCCTCTTACCTTAGAAAATTAAATAAGCGCCCCGGGCGCTAATACGAGCATTTACGATAATTATTATTTCTCCTTCCTTTTGCTTTGCGTCTAACTTGCGTCTAACTCTATCTTTTTAGTTTAAATGGTTTGTCAGAAAAGAGAGATTGTTTGACTGATTGGCATTTGCGTTTAAGTGACCCCTCTCGCTACAAATAAAAGTGGTCAACTTCCCCGTCAAGCCTTTTGGGAGGGGTCAAGTTTGACGTTCCACGCTTTCCCCGTTAGGTCGCATTCACGAAAAGTCAGATTTATTGAAACCACAAATACTCACTAGCTGCGCCATTTAGTGACCATTTACGATGCAAGGAGCGAGTAATAAGTACACTAAGTGATAATTAGAGATTTATCATCTTGAAATAGAATAAAGCCAATGGTTTGCTAAGACTCTCCGGATTCACTTTTCTTAAAAGCACTTTCTTACTTCCTTAAAGCTACCCCGCTCTATCTGCAACGAATGTCGCTGAGTGCGTTGCGTTGTGGTACACCAAAACTTCAACAACGGAAAGGCAGAAAACAGACTCATTCAATGTTTTACATGGTTGGATTTTTTTGTAGCCAACAGATTTATTTCTAGAAAAGCGCAGTACAGCACTGTTTTGGTTGCTGCAGAACTGAAATGTGATGTACAGAAACTGAGAAGAGCAATTCTCTAGGGAAAAGTTGACTTGAAGGAAACAGAGACGGGGGGATTAAAAGGTCCTGGAGAGTTAAATTGATAAAGTTCCCACGGCCCTCTTGATTCAAACGGAACCGGAAAAACGGGATTTTATGCGTAATCCTTTCTTAGGGTCGCCAGCGTTGTTGAACCTCAGTGCAACGTGTCTTTTATGGGATTTCTTACTTTGTAACATTAGTTTCAGTTTGAGAGGAAATAGGTCGTTACAAGGAGAATAACAGGAAGTTATTTTAAGAGGTATAATTTTTAGAAGTATAATTCCAGCCTGACCCATCCGCACATTTTTAATCGATTGTACGTTTGGAACGTTATCAAGTCCACACTCGACTGCCTTAAGCAAGCAATGCGGAATATAAAATTAATATTGTAATGGTAAAAATAGCTTTTACAATAATCTTATGAAAACATCTGAATATTATGACCTGCCCGATTCTGATCCTAATAATATGAGTGAAGCTAAGATCAAACACTATATAGATATAATAAAACAACAATATATTACATATTGGCAACATACAATCCATCATTCTAAGAAATTGCAATTTTACAGCTTATTTAAACATGATTATAAAATTTCAAGTTATCTAGACCTAATTACAAATTCAAACAATAGGAAAGACTTAGTGAAAACTCGTGTAAGTAACCACAAACTCATGACTGAAACTGGAAGATATAATCAAACTTCCCGCAACGATAGATTCTGCCCTGTTTGTAACTCTGGTATGATTGAAGACGAATTTCATTTTCTCTTCCATTGTCCAAAATATTCAATCCTAAAGGGGAAATTCTACAATCAAATCCGACAAACTTTTGTCGACGTTAATCAGCTATCTTACACAGAATTAATAATTAAATTGATGAATTCACAGAATTTTTCTGTAAATTCACATCAGGTTAAAATTTGTCTCATTATGTAATGATTTACGTACTAATTTGTTTTGAAACCATGCTGATGACACTTGATTGAATGTGGTAATCATTGCACTGCATTATCATTGTTATAAATTGTAACTTTATGTTAAAGCTTTTGCAATACTGTAACTGCATAGTTATAGTCATGCAAATAAAGTTTATGTTGTTGTTGTTGTTGTTGTTGTAATGCATGGCGACACACCGAGAGAGCATAATGCCTTTTCTCTCGACAACATTAAATTAAAGTCTGCGGACCTCTCCAGAAACCAATCTCTGATTACTGTTTCAAGCGTTTGATCGGTCCAAAAATAACATTCACATTTACCAAGGGTTTGACTGACCTTGACTGGGTGTTTTCCCACTACCACGCGTTATTCCCTCTTGTTATTGACAGCATGGCTGAAATCAATACAATACTTTGACTAACTGACGTAAAACTTTTATAGACAGAATCAGTAGCGGAAGATGAAAAATTAAGTCCATTGTCCTGAGAAAGAAGTACTCGTTTCCGATTCAATTATTTCTCATAGTGGTGAAGTCAGAGGTTGATTCCAAGAAATCGAGGGGACTGAAATAGTCAAGAGACTAGCCCTGCTAAGCGGGGTTCCGGGTGATCGGCTATCAAGACTTCCTTTTCCGTCAAATGATGTTGTTTATGCCTCCTGGATGCCTGTTTTGTTCTCAACTCCAATTTGCCTTTTTTTCCTGCTGTTTGCACAAACAAACGTCATTTCAGTTTAACTACCAGAATGCATTTTGCATTCAAATTACCACAATCCTTTAAAATTTTATCTTCTTGGGCAAATATAGGGATGTTTACCTGAAATTTTGAGGGTCCCAGATAGCATTCCCCTTCATTCTAAAAGGAAAAACAATGCTTCCGCATAAAAAATGATTCCGCATGATCTTAGGACTTCCTGAAAGCAGCTAGCAGAAATATGATCCACTCAATTTCATTCATATAGCCGCCTGTTTATAAGATAAAAATGCCGACGATTTTTGATCAGTGTAGTGTACTCAAAATCAAGGAAGTCTATCTCTATAGAGTTTTCACATGACGTCAAGCCGGCCATGTTGGTGTTCCAAACCAGTCCTGTGGGAGTTGAATCTTTTCTTATGTAAAAACTCTGTTTTGTTCCAATAAATTTGCATAGCTACTGGCTTGATTTCTGTAAAAACGCTCTATTAACAGTAATGTAGAAGCTGCTTGTAAGGTGTTTCCTCATCGGTCGAAGTAAACAATAACACATCATTGCTTATCATTATTTAATTCCCATTGTTTAGTTACGGTTAGACAAATTCCGGTGTATTAAAATTCATTCTTGGCTTCGAGGCTTGAGGGAATAAAGCAAAATAAATCATCTTGAGGCTCAGTAATGAAAAATGCACTTCTTTTGTTTTATTCTCCCTAGCCTCGGAGCCAAGTATGAATTTTAATATATCGAAAAGCAGCTACATGACCCTCTATTACAGCTGTTACGACATTGCTGTAGGCTTCTAAGAAGTGTTGGTTGTTGTTTTCAGGAAATTAGTTAAAAGCTGTCAGTGCTGAAGTCTAATGATAATTTTTTCACCAAATGCTCAGCTGAACTTCAATATTAGGTAACTTAAAGCCGGTAAACGCATGGAATGAAGAAGTCTGCGTTGCAGACAAAAGTTTCGAAATTCTTCCTCGTAAATAATAAAAGCTGTTCGTCATAAACGTTTAAAGTAAGGGAATCCGGGAAAATTTGAGTTATGGAATCCAGAATCCTGAGCTTTGGAATCCAGGAGCTCAAGGAATCCGGAATCTTACTAAGATTTGGAATTCGAAATCCAAGTTCCATTGAAAAGAAGTCCGAAATGCAGTGCTTGAAATCCGGAATCCACTGCATGGAGAATGTCTTGGATTCCCTAGTGCATGGGACAAGAAAGTATAATTGTCTGCGAAGCGGGCTTAAAATGAAGAAGACCGGCGAGCGAAGATCTAAGCCGAACTCCGATGGGAACAAATGGTGACCGATTTCCGAGACATTTACGAGCGCCGAAGGGGCATGCTCTAGGATGTCACGAGGGTATGCTCCCCCCACGATGTTTTTGGGATTATAACTGACCCCTAAATTTCCCTTACCTGGATTTGTGGGTCCTTCTCGCCCCTTGTTAGGTAATCCAATACAGTCTTCGATTCTGGATTCCACGCCGTGGATTCCGGATTACAGGTACTGGATTCTGGATTCCTTGTCAATGGAAATTGGACTTCGGATTCCAGTCACTAGAGGTATTCCGGATTCCTTGAGCTGAATTCCGTATTCCAAAGCCCTGGCTTCCATATTTCCCATGAGAAAAATTTTCGTATCCCGGATTTTTACCTTACAAGGGGCAAGTCATTCGAGTTTTGAGTACTTGCGTTGGAACCAGACTGCGTTGGAACCAGACTGCGTTGGAACTGAAAATGTTATTGACAAGTTACTGATAATGATTTTGAATTCATTTTGAATGGGGAAATGAGAACGACCTTATTAATATTACAGTAGAACGCGAAGCAGTCGCAACAGGTTCGCCTGCTGATGCAATCGAAACATTCGAATGATGAGGCAAAATACCTGGTTCGATTCATTCTTGCCAGTTAAAGTCAATTTATTCTTCGACACTTAAATATTCTTCGCCCAGTTGTTCTGAGGCCGATTCAGTCGCTTTTCTGGGATAATATTTTGATTTTGGTTCTTGTTTATTTTTTTAAAGCATTTTTCTAGTCATTGTGTAGCGTCAGGAGCGTCCAATATCAAATTGTGTGCAAGGACAACTTACCTCCATTGCCACCTGCATTTTTTTAGGTAAGCTTTAGAACTGAACTCAATTTCTCTTCCTGGAGGCCTTGTTGGTTTTGCCCTGACGGGACACGTATACTACGTCATGTAAGACCTCTCGTAAGTCGTGTTTACGTGCGCAAGAGCCTGCGGTATATCCTCAAAAATTGGATTTTCCACCAAATTAAGAGTAGTATGCTGTCTCGTCTCGCTAAGGCTAGCAAGAATTCATCGTAGTTTGTAACTAATCATGGGCGTGGTTGTGCAGTTAGGATCGCTTAGCGCCCGTGCCTCAAATTCAATTCAACACCGCCCACCAAGCGACTGCTGACACTATTTCGGTGCACAGGGAGCCCACGTAGAATGCGCAGTCGTTTCGGTTCCCTGATTACCAAGAAATGCATAGATATCCAAAAGTGTAGGAAAAGTGAGCCCAGATTACAGCTGCGACTTTTGACCACCTGGCTACCCGGCCTCGTGCGGATTTGAATGATCCAATCTTACTCTTATTTCTTTGAGATTTTATGATGTCGTTAAGTACATACTGGAACGACTAGCTACTGGAACATTCTCTTGGTGAGCTGTTTTGATGAATTCCCAGCAATTTCGCAAGAGAACACTGTGCAGGGGTTTTCGTTTGTGCTGATAATTATAGTTCGAGTTGCAAACAGAACAGATGACCAGAAAACAGTTAAGACTCAAGCAACATAGGCCCAATGCATGTGTTGCATTCCCGGCTAAATCAACGTCCCTTATTTGTTGGAAATCAGTATAGGGAACTGATAAGGGAGTCTTTCTTAGGAAAAACAAACTTGAAACTGCTTTCTTACTTTTACGCCCTGTTTTGAATATTAAGAACATGTGACACTTTAATGGAGTCCGAAGTTGTATGGAATTGAAATCGCGCGCGTTGTTTTGATACTTTAAAAAAACGGAAAAAAAAGAACTTTATTATGACGTAATTACCAAAGTCGGTTTCAGCCATTCTCTGTGCCCTGTTGCATAATCGTGGCCTCTAAAATATGAAAGGAATTCCATTTTCGTTCAAACACAGCTGGATGGCTGGGAATAAAGTTCTGACCCCCTCGAATTAAGCAGTTTTTAGCGGAATGCTTATCTGTTCGAAAGGGTAAAAAGTATTTAGGTCATATAAAGTATTTTTTCCCGGTTTGGGCCAAAAAAACGGCTGAAATGTCTCCTGCCCACACACACTTCAATTTAACCACGCATAGTTGCTAGAAAACTCCTAGAGTTTAGAAGGTTTTCCGTCCAAGCTTAAACGCAAAACAGGCGTTACTAAATACATTTCCCCTTTGAAGTGCGTTTTCGTAAAGTTCGAGTTTGGGTAAGGGTATAAATTCATTAAAATATATCCGCGGTGGCGTATTCAGGAAATGAAAGTTACTTAATGACGTTGGTACTGTGCACAAGAAGTCAGGGTCTAACTTCTGAGTTCGTGGACAATCATCCCACCGGTCGTTACTGTTGGCGGAACATGAAATAAACTCAATAAAGCTACTGGCCATGAGAGTTCCTGAGGTACTGTTTTGCTTTGCTTTTACCAAAGAAAGCGATTATTATAATAAAAGCTTTTGAGCGGTATTTTCCCTTAATTTGGTACTATTTGTGCAGTACAAAATGGTCCCAACTATGTGCAGTCTGTGCATGAAATTCTATGTCGTTATACCAGCGTTCCGTGAAAGCTACGGAACAGTGCTCTCTTGTGGTGCTGTTTACATTACTGTACTGTTCTTACTCTTTTAATTTGTGTGGAAAAAAATCTGCAGCGGGATTTCCTTTAACATGAAACCGCCTCTGCAGTACCTTTTACATGATCATTCCTTTTTGCAGTGTATTACATCGATCATGGAACTTATTGGGAGTTTTGACCTTGGCCATTCAGTGAATGGTATACTTTTTACTGAAGCATTTCCTTGTTGAAAACCCGAAACAAATATACTCATTCTACGAGGTAGAAAAACTTGCAAATATTTAACATTGCAATTTACTATCCTAGTCTGTTGTCGTGTTCACGGCATCTCAAAATTCTGCCTTTAATTGAAAAGAAAGTTCTAGTTTTTAATGGTGATATATCTTTTTGAAATTCGTAAATAAATTGCCTTGAAATGTGAAAGAATATCCAATAAGTAATTGTCCCACAAATGATGAGTATGAGTCGAATAACAGTTTATACGGCAATCAAGTCTGGGAGTGATTAACCTGTTTTATAGGTCACCCAAAAAACATGCTTTCTAGCAAATTCATCTGTATTTCATAATATTCTGGTGAACTTCGGTACGAAGCAAAACATTTTCCAGATGGAATGCAAACTTGAAGTCTCCGACAGTTCGGATTTCCACAAACTGAGCTGAACAAAGCCGTCGATGGAGGCATTTTTGATCTCACCTAAGAAAAACCGGAAGTGTTTACAATGGTCTAAGATTCTTGGTTTATTTGTTAGTTCTTATGAAGACAAAGATTCTTGGTTTATTTGTTAGTTCTTATGAAGACAAAATACTGAATTTGGATTAACTTTGTTCAGACTGATTCAAGAGAAAGAGTATTTTTCTGCAGTCGTATGCTATGATTATATTTTACTCTAATAGACAATCACGCACTTTGATCATATATGTTGTTAACACCCTTATTTTCCAGTAAAAACTCTGTATTGTCTTAACGCCGTAGTGATACCGAAAAAAATAAAAACTTGTAAAGTTGATTAAAAATGTGCCCTGGAGGAATATTACCAAATCAATATTCCTTTTTTCGCGATTTCTTCATGCGTATCAAGTTGTACGTGTGGAACTTTAGTTCGCCGTCAAGTTAATTCAGGGAAGTATTTTAGTCTCCCCTACTCCTCTCGCATGGAAGCCATTTATTGATATTTGATTGATATTCTGATTTACTCGCAAAAGAAATACAGATTAATCCAATTGTAAACTTTATTTAGTATATAAACTAATTAAATCGTAATCAGTAGTTTTTATCTTGCGCAAGGTATTGTGTAACATTAAATAAGAATGATTTCTATTCTTGCCAATTAATGAGTTAGACAACATGAATTGAATCTTTGGGATATATTATTTAGTCTGTTCTGTAACTTTGTTTCAAACGTTCGGCGATCACAGAAACATAAATCTACGTACACTATTTACATACATTCGAAAATGCTATTATACATTTTGTATACCCTAATCATGTCGAGCTTATCTATAAGTTACACCGACTTGGATAAATAAAACATGGTGCAAAGCCGGAAATTCATTTATACGTTTAACCTGATAGAGTTCACGTCCAGTTTTTAACTGAACTCAGTTTCTCTTTGTTTTAAGTGATGAGTTCATGTCAGTAGATTTGCACTCTCCATATTTCCGTCGAGGCTTTAACCATCGCGGAAAAGTCCTGCACGTAGACTTGCGATATTTGCTGCGTATTATACTGATGGTTGGGAATGAAGCAGGACGACCGTTCGACCTTTTCGATACTTTCGCTCCTCTTCGCGTTCTGATCTGTCAAAGCACGAGGTGTACTGTAGACCTCCCGCTTCAATTCTCTTCACCTGCTGTGAAAACCCCTAACAACCTCGACGAAATCATAATTCTGTAGAGCAAAAGTTTGTAGTTAAGACACCATCTTGCGCTACAAATGTCTCTGACCGTTCTAGAGTGTCGTTATTCGGTGTAGTGATGATTTGCATGCTTTTAAGTCTTCGTCTCCCTCTCGAAACTGAACTGTTTCTTCTTCTCAGCTGCGCAGTAGCTCCAACATTCACAACACTTGGCTCCACAGACTCCATGACTGAAATTCTCTCTATTTCGCTCGGGCTTGAATGTTCCGTTTTACAAGAAGTACTAACACTCGAAGTGGTTGAAGTCGCCGAGCTTCTGTTACTAGAACACGGTGACTCAATGTTCCAATCCCGCTCCTCTATAACCTGTACTAAACCCGGAAAGTGCGAACAAGGAAAGCAAACATTGCGAAAGTCGGGGCTTTGTAACTGTTCTCTCATCTTGAAGTAAAACACGTACAATGTACGCAGTGTTTTTTTCGCAGCCTTTTTATATATGGAACCCAATTAGTTATTTTGTTGATGTGTTCTTTCCGCAAGCCAAAATTCAACTGATTTCTCTGTCCCGTCTTGTGTTACTAATTTACGTATTGACTCGCCATGCGATACGTGAGGCTTATTTACCTCGTTTCCCACCAAGTGTGGCATGGAATGTACGTCCACCCACCGGAGCTACCACTCTGGCTTTGTTCCTTTTATCGCGTGATCTGGCATTAAATTAACAAGGGCAAATTAATCACTAAAAGAGTGCCCTCTCAAAGCTGTCATTATAGCAGCAAAACACCCCTTAGCCACTTGAACGACAAAGGGCCCCTGTCAATACCCATGACGTAAAACAATTGCACAGGAAGTCAACTCGGCCCTTGAAGACTACTTGTACTTGACGTTGTTTACATTGTACGGTATATTAATCTAAATTTGAAATCAGTCCTCAAAGATGAATCTTTCTGCTCAATTACTGGGGGGAAATGACGTCTACATTTTACATTTTGATAATTTTGGAAGCTTTGCGGGCAGAGCGAGGTCCATAATTATTTGAAAAATTGAATAATGTGTTCTTAACGACGTGAAAATGCGTGCGGGTTGGGGCTTGTTGTTGATACCCAGCTGCGATGCTTGCTGTTTTATTGTTAAATAATATTTATCATTTAACTTGCGAGGCTAGAGACTACATACCAGCACGATTCCAACCGAACAAGCATTACTTATCCGATTTAACTTCTCATTAGCTATTCTCATTAGTTTACAAGTACCTAAATACTAGCCAATGAAATTGCCAAAATAAAATTTGAGTGCCTGAATGCTTAGAAGTAAATAGTATGAACCTAAAGGCAGCTTTCTTGCCTTAAGTTGAATGGTCATTTTGTGTTATAATTAAGGGAAAATATCAAAAGTGACACAATTAACAACACTCTATGTGCGATCATTAGTACCGCAGAAATCAAAAAGTACTGTTCAATCTCACTTCATGAATCATTATCACTCTCTCGGAGTCACTGACTAGTTCGTAAGGTATAAAACCTCATTTAGAAGTAGCATTGTACCGGAATCACGGTGGATTGATGGTGTTCAAAAGGTTCGGTAGAGAGCATAAAAACGCAGAAGAGAGAAAAAGCTAGATATCGACAAAAATTTTTAAAAGAATAAAATAAAATATTCGCAGACGCCTGCACTTTGCGGAAGTGAAAACAGAGATCATTAAACGAAAACAACCGATCACGGTGATCCGTTTGTTTTATTCGATTCATAGTTGAAAGCATCAAACTGCAATCTTTGCAAGGCTGAAAGTTAGAACTCGGCTCTATTTACCAATCAGGGGGCTTCAAATCCGATGACGTCAGATAGAAGAGCTAGTGTTGGTGTTTGGAATAAATAAAATTCTTCTAATTGAACGACGGAATTGTGCTGTTTCGTAGCAAAGAAAACATGTGATGCGTAACCACCAATGAAATACACGAGGTTCTAAGGTTAATAGTCGTGACTTTAGCCATGGTTTTCTATAGCTGTATAAAAGCAAATTGTGTCTCGTTGACTGGTCAGACGAAAGCTTGAACAATTCAGTAGCTCACTCTAAAATCAGATTAGGAAATTGCGTTGATTACTATACGGGATTAAGCTTTGGAAACATATGGGTTCCGGAACTCTTAATTAATTGTATTACCACTAAACATGGAAAACTCCTTTGTTTCCAGTGTCTTTTCTTTCTGGTTTAGCTTTTACCGTTAAAGCACAAAACGAGTCAATCGGACAGATTTATTGACTTTCCGTAGCGCCAATGTTCTATAGTTTTGAGGGGTTTGTCCACTTACTGATCAATGGTTAAACTGGTGAAAAGTGCTCGACCCCATAATTTTATGTGGGGCCTTGTTGATGGCTTAAGTGCACAAAGCTGCTTAGAGCTACTTTACAATTGAGAGGACTAAGCCCCATTCAAATACCGGTCCGGTCTATTCACAAGCGAAGTAGAGAAGTTGAAATCAGCTCAGGCCTTCCGTGAAATATCTCCAGATACTTGTCAGAACAAGATCGGAGTTGAACCATGGGACTTCGATTACAAGCCCTGTACGCAGACCACGAACTCGGATACGTTGCCTTCATGAATAGATTTATTATTAGATGGGACTAATCTAATAGTCACCATGTGAAACCATGTGAATCTTTATAACGCGTTACTGGACTTGGGTGTTTCAAAAATGTTCCACCAATTGCTAACCGAGTAGAAATAAACCATAAACTTACCAACAATAGATGCCATCATTCATAAGATCTCGCTCTATTTTCATGTTCAATTTGAGAAATTTCCACAATTGTTATGCTAAAAAAAGATCAGCAAAACCGCAGACACTGAAATTATCTTACGAACGAAAGATATTTCGCAGTCTCCTTAGATCGTGGGAAGGCGAAAAAAATATATAGAAAATAAAGGGCGTAGATTCCTTATACTCTCTTTTAAAACCTCTTGTACTGATCGATGTAAGACTACTAAACCGTGTAATGGTTTGATCACGAATCCGGGCAGATTTTACTGGAAATCCCCAAGATTTACTGACTTGTTTACTCCAGGTGGAAAACAGTTTTTGGAGATCAATTATGGTGCAGTTAATTATGTTGTTTTGATGGATTATTTACTAGACCTACTGTACCTGACAAAACTGTTTCTCAGCCAAATCGTTATATTAGACAAACGGAACTCGAAGATTAAAGCCCCCAACAGAGCAGTCATAATGCTACGCTGGAAGAATACCAAGGCTTTTTGCATGGTAGATTTTCTAATTGGTGATAGTTTTGAGCTCGTGTGGACAAAAATAGGAAAATAAGATTCCATTCAGGAATTTGATGGACTAAAGGTTGGATTTTTTTAACCCAATGTAGGTTCATTAAACCCATGAAGTGTTTGCAGGCACTGCAGCTTCCTCTTTTCCTTTTTCTGACTGAACTTACAACAATTAGAGCCCTGGGACCAATTAAGGCTGGATTTCGATCATTACTGTTTATCTCTAATGAAGTTAATGGATTAGGGTTTTGCAACCTACTGCACCTATAATAATAACATTAATAATAATAACAATGATGATAATGATAATGATAATAATAATAATGATAATTATTAGAACTTGAAACCCGTGTTCACAGGAAGCCAACCAGCACTGGTCTCCTCTTGCATTTTCATAGCCATGTAGACAAACGTTACAAAACCAGTTTATTGAAGACCATGTTACATCGCGCCCATGCCCTGTCATCTACGACAGAAGCCTTCAGTGAGGAATGTGCCAAGTTACCCTCTATCTTCTGCCGACTTGATTATCCAACTGGCCTCATAAATTCGACCGTTAATATGTTTATTCACAGCATTACAACTAAGCCAGAAAAGAAACCGATGATGGCAATACGATCAGAATAGTTCTTCCCTTCAAAGATCAGATAGCCTCTAACACAGTCCGTACACAATTGCGCGATCTCAGCAATAAGATTGCCCTCACGTTACAGCCTATTTTTGTGAGGAAAAAATTGGAGCAAGATCATAAGCCTAAAGAAAGTAAGTCAGCAATGCGTTGTTATGAATTTGCTTGTGATCTGTGTGATGCAGATTATATGGGCTACACAGCCCGACATCTTCAACAACGCATTGCTGAACACAAGTATTCAGCTATCGGTAAACATTTTTTAGACGCGCAAGGTGACAAAAATCGTCTCAATGAGGGCCAATTTCGCGTTCTCAAGAAATGCCACGGGAAAGTTGACTGCCTCGTTTACGAAATGTTATTCTTCAAAGAACTGAAGCCTAGCCTTAACGGCTCAGAGTGACTCCATCAGTGCTAAACTCTGTTTGACTTGTAATATATTTTTATATGTTACTTGCCTTTTAATGAACTATTGTTTTTCTTGTATTTATAGAATATTCATATATATTGTGTTTCTTTTCACTCGATAATGACGTCCGGGAACGTCGAAACGTTGTGTATTTTTTAACTTTTTTAAAATTTCTTAAATGTTTTTAGGAAAGGTTCCTTCCCAATTTTTTTATAGCTAAATGTTTTAAAAAGATGCTTCTTTTTAATAATAATAATAATAATAATAATAATAATAATAATAATAATAATAATAATGGCTTTATCTTAGCAGATCCACAAATTACGTTACGTTAGCATATTGATGGTAAACACAGTCACGTTCTCCTTGCAAATTAACCACGCATATGTTTGTTAAAACAAGTGGACTCATGAAGAAGCTCTGTGGGACACCAAACCAAAGTTCAAAAGATTTTGAAATACGGTCGTTAATTTGAAATAACTGCTCTCTTCCACAAAGGTAGTTGACTGTCCATTTAAGTTGTTGCTAGGACAGACCTAAATTTTACAGTATCAAACACCGAGGAAGTCAGCTTCACTCACTCGGGTTCATTGCTTCCAATGTCTTCACAAATGCTTAATAAAACAGAATGGGCTTTTCCGCAATCTAGAAATTTTATCCTCAAGAAGGTTGTGTTTTTCAGGAACTCAACAACTTGGTTGTGAACAAGCCTTTCATAAATTTAAGACAAAACAGGCAATATAGAGCTTCATTTAATTACTTCCTATAGCTTCGGTGAGAGGGTACAGAGATTGTAGTTGTGCAGCGGGGATTTGAAAGCTTGCTTGTGACCACAAAAGATGACTTGACGCGGGAAATTCATGTTGCTCATTGTATGTCTCCTCCGACTCTGAAGTACGAAACAATCATCCCTTCTCAAAAATTGAGCTAACAAAGCCAAGGTTTTAATATATGGGCCCAATTGTTCGAAGGCCGATTGGCGCTAATCCAGGGTTAAATTTTCACCCGGGTTTCTTTTTCTTTTCTTCAAAAGCCTTTTTTCCACATACTATTCCCTATTGTCTTTAGACCATCCAATTATCAAATTGTAGACGAAAACAATTAAACCAAATTTGCTTTTTACGCTTTTA